AAAGGTGAATAAAGGTGAATAAAGGTGAATAAAGGTGAATAAAGGTGAATAAAGGTGAATAAAGGTGAATAAAGGTGAATAAAGGTGAATAAAGGGTATGCCTGTTTGTAAAACACCCTTTAGAAGAAGTGTTTGTTCTACTTCTGCCTATGTTTCTTGTAGAAATGTTTTATCTGAAAGCTTTTCCATTTTATTTGGAAAAAACTAGGTATTTTCATTAAGACAACACCCTTTGAGGTGATTCTTTTCCACTGTCCTTTTCCCATAAAATTATAAATACTGCAGTCACACACTGATTATTAACCATTACAGAGGGGAATTGTTACCAAACCAATTCCTGCAAATATCTGAAAATCACTTTCCTCTGCAACTCCCTATATATTTCCACTTAATGGTCCTGTGAAACACAAGAAATTACTCCATAACTTCCATTTCAGATTCAGAGAATAAACTACATCTATCCTGCAGCCCACAGAAGATCTGTATCTTAAAAGTAAACGAATACCTCAGGAGTATATGCTCATGCACAGCCATAGAAGGTTTACACAAGGACAATCTGATGGGCATACCCTATAAAACCCTACCAGGCTGACCAGAAATCACCAGCTGCATGCTTCCTCTTCATGAGTGCATACTGAAAAGGAAATTATTTTCCCCCATGATACAAGTTGGTAAACATCAACATTTATAAGCATTTTCAATTTTAACTATAGGCATCTAATGGGCTAGTAAAGTGAGTACTCTGCATATCCTATCTGATCCAACAATTCTAACAGCTGTAATTTGAATTACATTTCAACATTTCTGTTAGCCTGATCGTACCTACAATGACAGTAAATTCTTGGGCAGAACAATTACATCCAAATCCAGTGGCTTATTCATCAATCCAAGACCAAGCTAATTATAAGTACATTTTTTGGCCTAGGTTGAGTAAGCTCTACAAGAGTTGTGCCCTCCAACCCCAAAACCAAGACAAGGGAAATCACTTATGTGACAGGATGGAGTCATTGCAGGCCAAATGGCTTCATAAGCACTACTGTCTTCTGTCTCTCCCACAGAAGGCAGAAGCGGCAGAAGTTTAACTTTGGTGTTACAAAGTAGAGTTCAAGCTCACACACAACCCCTCTGTAGCTAGCACTATAGATACAAAGTCTGTAGGAAACCAAGAAAATTATTCAGATAGCTACAGCCCCTCCAGCTCCTGCCGCCAAGAATCTCACTCACTTCCACCACTGGCACCACAAACCTGGTTGGCGCCATCATCTCCAGGGAGACTCCAGTTGCTTGCCTAGTTTCTACTCAAGCTGGTCTCATCTAGTCCCTGCAGCACTCACACACAGAAAGTGAAATTACATAGAGAGGCAGTTAAGAAAAGATCTAATAAAACAGGACAGACTGCAGGGATCAGGCACAGGCCAGAGAAGCATAAAAGACTGGCCACAGTTTACCTCTATCAGCCCTTTTTCTGTCTGGCCCCATTTTGTCCCTTTCCCAACTTCCTTCCCTTGCAAATAACTTTCTCAGATGGCACAGTCTCACTGACCAGCCCCAACATCCTGGGCCCTCAGGTTTGCACCCTTATCAGCCGCAGAATCCTTGCTTGTGTGCAAATTTCTGACAGCTCA